CACACAGATATAGGACCAAAGAAGTCAGCACAAGGTAGATTGCCAGCAGAACTTTCCAAATCCAAATGTGTGCAAATTTAATCAGTTAAAATTCCTACTAATTAATTTTTTTTTTTAGTACAGGAGATATCCAGTTGTCTAGCTGCCAGGTTTTGCTTGGGCTGCTGGAGTATGCTGGCAATCTGTGTCTCATACACCAAAATAGTACAGCTGGAGACTGTCCCACATTTCATTATTTTCCCCAAGCTCCACATTAGCTGCCTTTACATTAACAATACTCCTGGAATAATATCTGGTCCTAATGTCTGACCAAAAATATTGCCTAGATGAAGTATATTTTATCTTACTGAATACTTGGATTCTCTTTTACTCTATTACAGTTCGCATCAGAGAAGCTTTTTCTCAGGAGAGAAAAGAGAACAAATAAAAATATCAGATGTCCTCTGAAAAGCAGGAATTGGTACCAGAGATGTCAACTTTCAGCAGTGTCTGTGACAGCTGTAGTGTGGGTAAGAGAAATCACTAGGACATATATTAAATCAGTGGAATCAGGAGCCATGGGACATGTTAACATTGATGCTAACAGAACGCTCTCAATTACCAAAAGTGATTTAGGATGAGATTTAAAACTGCATCTTGCTTCCATTTAAATCAATGTCAAAGCTCTTTTTGTCTGAACAGGGCTGGGATGCCTGTGAGAGTAGGAATCACCTTGCCAGAGTGCATGCAGAGATGTCTGTAAAGGTGAGAAAGGCATGTGTGAAACTACCCAGGAAATCATAAAGATGAGTGGTTTGTATTCATCATCCTGTCATGGAGCATTGAAAACTCTGCAAAGTTCCTGAATGGTTTTTCCATTGACATCTGGTGAATCTTAAATATATACGTCCAGTTTTAAGATAGTAGTAAGCTTTAAATATGGAGAGGTGTTTTCTGTTTCCCTGTTAGGACAAAAGTGCACCAGTCAGATGGCAGAAGTATCTTCATTATTTATACATGTGCCACCTTTCCTAAGGACTGGAAAGGGAGAGATGGAAGACTGGCAGCACCATCTCCTGGCAGATATAAGAAACAGGGACCACTTTGTGTCAGAAAGTAGGGCCAAGTAATTTCTTTGTGGATTTTAAAAAGACTGTGGCAGGAAGTAACTTCACAAGAGTATATTCCCTCCCTAGGAAGATTAACTTTGTTATGCTTCAGGGAATAAAAGCATAATGTGTTATTATAATTATGGAGAACACAGGCTCACAATTATGAAGAACAAATTCAGGTTGCTTCTGCCTTTAAAAAACTCCCTCATGTTGATCTCTCTGCTTTCCTTTATATTGCAGTAATAGCAGATTTCAAAACTAGCACAGCAGGTAAATCAGTCAGAAGACCACAGGAGACCAGGAAAGTTCCTCGCAGTCAGAAAATACTGGAATATGTAGATTTCAATAGGTGTAGCCAAATTTCTGTCTTGCTAAGTATATAGGGGAAATGTTGGGAAAAGACTATTAACACTATAAACTGCTGGATCACTAATGTGGAATGCTATTATACATATTTAGAAAGTGACAATAGGCCAAACAATGCTAAGTAAGGGTGAGGCCTTTGAAGTAGTGAAATGCTGTATGGGAAAAAAATTATCTATGGAGATAGAAGAGAAGAGACTAAGTCAGATGACTTGGTGAAGACAGCCATGGAAGAGAACAGAGGAGAAAAAAGAGGTCAGGAAGAGAGGAATTAACAGGAACTTCAGAACTGGTATGCCACAGGAGTCCAGATCTCATTTATCAGAACAGTCTCAACTAGCAAGATGGAGAAGACTTAACCTCATTGATCAGATTGATCAGTCTTCTGCCTTTTAACTCTTGCAGACCTGTCTTGCTGTTAGGTCTCGTGATCCATGGCATGGAACAAACACAAAGCCCTCCTTGTGTTACACAAGCAGAGATATGTTTTGCTTTTGGGGGTTTTTTTTCTGTGTTTTGGAGGTTATTTTATGTTGAGAAACTTCCAAGTGCTTTTAAGGATTTTTTTTTTGCAGATGATCATGAGTGGGAAGAGACTTATGAACTCATTCATTCCATCCTCCTCCCAAAGGAAGAACAATTCTTATAAGTCACCACACTTCCCAGGGCTTCGCCCCACATAGATTCAAAAGCCACACGTAATTCCCATGGGAAAATATGCAGCTTTATGCAGCCTACCTCTCCCACATGGGTGGGGAGGGGCTCTGCTTATCTCTTTAGCTCAGAACCAAGATCAGGACTTTTTCCTTGGGGTATCATTTACTATTCAAACATTCACAAAACAAAGGTAATCCTCCATCTTCCTCCAGGGCCACAGAATTCACCTTCCTTTCCAAGTGAACTGCTAAACCCTATATTTTAGGAATCACTCTAGTTAGTGGATTAACCTCTTTTATCAAACACTTGCTATTAAACCCTTCTTCTGGACAGGCTTAGCTGCCCAGTTATCTGTCACTGCACATCTCTGGCTTTTGTTATTAACACAGGGAAACGCATTTTACTGGTTATGTATATTATACTGTTTTGGGGTTTTTTTAATTCAATGTGCTGTAGTTGTGCTATTCCTCACTGTGCTGGTTTAAGAGTTAACCAGCAGGGGAAATGAACTCAACTCAAAGGAGAGATTATAAGTCAGAATAACAATTTATTAAAATAATACAGTAAGTACCAGATGTATGGCCGTCTTCGCGAGCGAAGATTTGGGAAAGGTCTTTA